CCCCCCCCCCCCCCAGGAAGGCTGGCCCCCCCTAGGAAAACTGCCCCCCCCAGGAAGGCTGGCGCCCCCTAGGAAAAACTACCCCCCCCCCCAAGAAGGCTGGCCCCCCCTAGGAAAACTGCCCCCCCAGGAAGACTGGCGCCTCCTAGGAAAACTGTCCTCCCAAGGAAGACTGGCCCCCCCTAGGAAAACTGTCCCCCCCAGGAAGGCTGGCCCCCCTAGGAAAACTGCCCCCGCCAGGAAGGCTGGCGCCCCCTAGGAAAACTGCCACCCCCCCCCCAGGAAGGCTGTCCCCCCCCCCAGGAAGAGTGGCCTGCCCTCACTGCCTAGGCTTAGAGATGACACTAAACAACCTCGCTGGGCTGCTGAAGATGGGGGTCAATTAACAAAGCCTTTTCTTCCCTTTCATGTGATCCACACGGCTCCTGTTATATGACAGCATTCTGAGTGTCATTATTAGCACTGAGCGAAGGCAGGACACGGCGACCCAAGCCGACACTCAGCCCGACACTCAGCCCGACACTCAGCCCGACACTCAGCCCGACACTCACATTGGACAGGGAGAGAATACAATATTTATAAGCTGGGAAGCTCTGAGAGAAAAGGATGCATAACAAATTATTACAATTGGCTGTTGGCATTTGTTTATCTTTTTCAAGCTAGCTTTATATTCTTAGATTGTAGTAAATAAACTCCCCCCTCCAGACACAGGAATAAACAAACTCCATGCAGACATCATCCCCTGTGGAACTTAAACCCAGGACCCCAGCACTGCTATCCACTTACAGTACGGACCCTTCCTGACCTGTAGCAGCAGCCGGGCCTCCATGGCTTCCTTGCAAGTGATAAAGTACGGCTTCATGAGCAGGATATCCTGGCGCAGTTTCTGTTGAATGAAGACAAGAATAAATATGAACTGATTCAGCAGAAACTCCGTCCGCAGAATCTGCGAATAGTCACAGCCCCCGGGGTGGAAGAAATGAATGGGACTCAATTTTGTGTCTCTGAGAAGCATTTAAAAAGGAACCTTATGGTAGCAAAGAAAAATGGGAGGACAGGCAGGATTTCTCATGCAGAGGTGGCTGCGTTGTCCCTTCTGCATGGAAGTGTAAAACAGATTTGTTTAGAAAAAAAAAAAAAAGTTGCCTACCCGCCAGTTTGCCCTTTTACAACGAGCTACGCACACGCCGTGCAGTGTGAAAATTCAGCAATGCCAAAGCTGACTGCGCCCCTGCACAGGAGTGCGGCACAGCACAGGAGTGACGGCACATGCACAGGAGTGACGGCGGCACATGCACAGGAGTGACGGCACATGCACAGGAGTGACATCATCCCCGCGCCGGCCAATAAAATCAGCCGGCGATCAAAACCTGGAAACCGGCTGCCCGAAGAAGAGCTTTTATGTTTGTATGTTTTTGTTATACATGTGAAAGTGATCTCCATGGAAAAAGTGACTGTTAAATCTTTAAATGTGAACTTAAAGCAGTTGTAAAGGCCCCCCGGCCCCCCTAATACTCACCTGAGCCCCCTCTCGATACAACGATGTGCACTAGTCTCAGGTATCCCGGGACTTCCTCTCCTCATTGGCTGAGACAGCAGTAGGAGCCATAGGCTCCCACTGCTATTAATCACAGTCAGTGAGCCAATGAGAAGAGGGGGGGGGGGGGGGGGTGCTGAGCAGCGGCTCTGTGTGTGTGAATAGATACAGGGAGCAGCGGGTGCGGAGTGCGCATGCTCGGGTTTTGTTTCATCACAATTGTTATGTTATAATCATTTGTTTTTAGAATTAGTTTTGTATATTCGGATCGGTTTCGTAAATTCATTATTCTGAATAAATTCATATTTTTAGAAGTTATTTGAAAGATTATATGGTTGGTATCGTAGAAATGTCACGGATGGGACTTATTGCCCAGGTGGCCACCTATCACGGGACCAGGCTTGGAGTCACTGAGCTCCTGAGAGCGACCCATTCTTTCACCAATGTTTGTAGAAGCCGTCTGCATGCCTAGGGGATTGATTGATTTTAACACCTGTGTCCATGGAGGGGGATACACCTGTGTCCATGGAGGGGGGGATTGGAACCCTGAGTCACATGATATGGAGGATCACATGGGATTGGAACACCTGAATCACATGATTGGGATGGGATTGGAACACCTGAATCACATGATATGGAGGGGATTGGAACCCCACATGAGTCACATGATATGGAGGGGATTGGAACACCCGAATCACATGAATCACATGATATGGAGGGGATTGGAACACCTGAATCACATGATTGGGATGGGATTGGAACCCCTGAGTCACATGATATGGAGGGGATTGGAACACCTAAATCACATGATATGGAGGGGGGATTGGAACACACCAGAATCACATGATATGGAAGGGATTGGAACACAGGAATCCATGATTTTTCTGACCCCCGGGGGATGATGGTTTCCATGCCATTGGTAATGACAGGAATGAGCTGGATGGGAGCAGAGGCCTAAGCCAAACCCCCTTTACTATTAAATACCCGATCACGCTCCAGTCTTCAAACAGGGATGCAAAGTTTCTAGTCCTGGCATTCTCTTCTACCTCACCAACCTGTCACTCAACTCAACGTTTAAGGTGTGACTTACCCGGATCTCCACCAGTTCCTCCACATAGTTAAATAGTAAAGGGTTAATATCCCGCAGCTTCAGCACCGGCCGGTTCACCATCAGAGCGAGGTACCGCATACTGCACCGCGACACCTGGGGGTGAGGAGGACACTTTGTAGTGGTAGCAGAATCTACAGGTAAGAGGAAATACATCTCATCTAGGAGAGCCTAGAACATTCCATCTAGATCTGGGCCTGGCCTTGGAGTACATTGGTTACCATTATTAGGACTTTTACCATTTATGCCACCCATAACCCCATTGTTCTCCATCTGGAACCTTCTACTTCTTTTGGTTGCCAGAGGAATTCCTACACAGGATCTTCTTTAGAGCAAGAATGGCCAACCCTTGGCTTTCCACCTGTTCCATAATCATGCCTCTGCTTCTGGAAGCCATAATTGTGACTTCCAGGCTTACAATGCCTCACGGCTAGAAGAACCTTTTACCTCTTTTGGTTGCCAGAGTAATTCCTGTACAGGATCTTCTCCTGGTCCCTCCATTTTTCCCCTGTACAGGATCTTCTCCTGGTCTCTCCATTTTTCCCCTGTACAGGATCTTCTCCTGGTCCCTCCATTTTCCCCTGTACAGGATCTTCTCCTGGTCCCTCCATTTTTCCCCTGGGTCCCTCCATTTTTCCCCCTGTAACAGGTATCTTCTCCTGGTCCCTCCATAATTTTCCCCCCCTGTACAGGATCTTACCTGGTCCCTCCATTTTTCCCCTGTACAGGATTTTCCTGGTCCCCCCTGTACAGGATCTTCTCCTGGTCCCTCCATTTTTCCCCTGTACAGGATCTGGTCCCTCCATTTTTCCCCTGTACAGGATCTTCTCCCCTCCATTTTTTCCCCCTGTACAGGATCTTCTCCTGGTCCTCCATTTTTCAGGATCTTCCCCTGTACAGGATCTTCTCCTGGTCGCTCCATTTTTCCCTGTACAGGATCTTCTCCTGGTCCCTCCATTTTTCCCTGTACAGGATCTTCTCCTGGTCCCTCCATTTTTCCCCTGTACAGGATCTTCTCCTAGTCCCTCCATTTTCCCCCTGTACAGGATCTTCTCCTGGTCCCTCCATTTTTCCCCTGTACAGGATCTTCTCTGGTCGCTCCCTTTTTCCCCTGTACAGGATCTTCTCCTGGTCCCTCCATTTTCCCCTGTACAGGATCTTCTCCTGGTCGCTCCCTTTTTCCCCTGTACAGGATCTTCTCCTGGTCCCTCCATTTTTCCCTTAGAGACCACTCAGATGATCCCCATAAAGCAAAAATATGCTGTGTGCATGCAGTGGAAACCACTGTCCCTGTCTGCCCCTCACCTTTCTCCACCCAATGGCTCCAGTGACCCCTGGAAGCATGGAAATATCTGGTACTTCTGGGTATGTGGACCATGTGACTCACTCCCCTTGCTCGCATGTAAACGCAATGCTGGTTGGCGATGGAGACTCCGGCACCTATCGCTGTCACATGCTGGTGGGGAGATAGTCCTCTACCCTATGTAGGCTCCAAGTCTAAACTTAGAAGGAAGGCTCAGGTCACATTAGCTTTGTTAGCAGGTGTTAGGAAAGTGTATTTAACGCTCCTCAAACGCCTATGAAAATCCCACACATGGCAGCACACAGCGCTGTTCACACTGAAGCGTTCGTGTCGCGGCAAAACTGACACCTCATGTCCAGTCAGGAGGAGTTGAAGCCTCCCATTCAAGTCTATGGTGACGCTCCTCAAAACGCTATAGGGGGTGTTGGCAAGAGTTAGAAATGAGTGAAGTGTGAACGAGCCCTTACACAGAGCTTCTCCTGCAAGGGAAGAGAACAGGTTCACTTTAAAGAAATGCCCAGTGATGGTCACCAAGCACTGCATTGTGGGATGGAGCAGATTTGCTCCATAGCTGGATGTGTGGAGCCTTTAGAGCAGGAATAGAGGCAACCCTTGGCCTTCCATGTTGCAGAATCATGCCTCTGCTTCTGGGAGCCATAACTAACTTCCAGGCTTACAATGCCTCCTGGGACATGTAGTTCCACAACAGCTGGAGGGTCCACACTTGCTTTAGGGAGGCATTTCACAGGTAAGACTTCCATTGACTTCCTTTACCAAGTGTATGTTACCCCAACAACGATGATTGCGTCTATGTGTTGTTTTAGTTATAAAGTTCTTAATAAATGTCTTTGTAGATTTTTTATTTTCTCTCTTCTAGGTAAATACTTGGTGATCCTGCCGCTTCACTGGGGCCTTTTCAAACTGACCACGTCGAGCACACAAGCAGATCGTCATGAGCGTGGTCAGTTTGCATCCCTGGGATCACTGTTAGCCATTGTTCATATGCACAGCACGCCTATATCTCCTGTGGTCAGTTTCGTAGCCCCGCCCTGCAGCACTGCCATGCCCCTCCCCCCAGTCAGCAATTGGGGTTTGCGGTTTTGCTACTGACTGTGCAGCTACTGTATTAATAAAGATCTCATTTTTCTGATCAGCAACACCGCCGCGGGAAAAAGAAACGGACAGCCATTATGGGCATTATGTCCAAGGTTGCTCGTGATCCTTGCTTACCTTCCTCGGCTCAAAGTCCCAGTTGTGGATAACGCGGGCCGGAATGACAGCGAGGTCGTTCCAGTGACAGTTGCTGCAGTAGTACTGTCCGGTGTAATCACACTGACGAGCCTCACTGGACGATGCTCCTGTACGGGAAACAAAGTTTTGAGCGATCCCAACACACACGTTCCCGCGTCACAAGATGGCTGCATGTGTAAATGGGTGCTACAGCGACCGGCGGCTCAGAGTCAGAGCAAAATGAATGTCACCAGCACACCGCGGATCTCCATTACAGCGATTCTAACGGTTCAATAAACCTGTCTATACTTACCTGCTGTGTGTGATGGGTTTGCACAGAGCAGCCCCAATCCTCCTCTTCTCAGGTCCCCCGCAGGCTCTCTTGGCTCCTCCTGTCTGTTGGGTGCCCCCACAGCAAGCAGCTTGCTATAGGGGCACCCAATGCTTTGTGTGTCCATTCACACACGGAGCCGCGGCTTGGCCCCGCCCCCTCTTTCCCCTCATTGGCTGACTGATTAACAGCAGTGTTGGGGGGCTGGGGGCACTGCTGCACACAGAAAGTTTTTACCTTCATGCATAGAATCAACCTTCAGCCATTACAACCACTTTAAGGATCCAAAGCTTTAATTCGCACTCATAGGGACAAACAAAGCAAAGTTTCGGAGTCACGCAGGACCCCTTCATCAGGCCCCTTCATCATACATGCCCTGTGTGACTCCGAAATGTTGTTTTGCTGTAACTATGAGTGTGAATTAAATCTTTGGATCCTTAATGGAGATCTGCGGTGTGCTGGAGACATTCATTTCACTGTTACGTAAAACACGACACACCTAAACAGAGCACACGAGTACTTCCTACAGACAGGGAGTGTCCAGGTTACAGCGATACATTTAAAAAGGGAAAATAAAAACTCAGCAATGAGATTCTCTTATTTTATCTTTTTTTCTGGTAAAATATAAAACATTGAAAGCATTTTATTTTACTTTTTTTTTTTTAAGTGCAAAAAATACCCTTTGACCCTGCCAGGAATCTAGCGAGCATCTAACATCTTTGCTCTGTCTCAGCTGGAAGTGTAACTGTTAAGAATGCAGCAATCTCTGGGGACTACAGAACCCCTCCATCTTATGTTATAGAGAAGTGAAAGCGGGAGGGGGTTTGTAGTGACAACACTGCTTCTATATGTAGTATGATGGGTGTTGTCACTCAAGTACAGGAAGTGGATTACTGGCAAGATCACCTGGTCAAATAATAAAGGGAAAAAAAAACAAAAACCTACTGTACCCCACATGTAAGGGCTGAAGGCTGTAATAGATCACATTCTGATCTGTGAGTCTAGGAAACTTGAAAAGAGAACATAGTATATAGTCGTTTCTAAAACTTGCGGATACACAAATGAATGTGACCCTCCAACTGACAGCAATCTTATAAAAGGGTGCCAAAATAAAACAAAAAAAAAAAAAAAAAAAAAACCAAAACCCCCAAAACCCAACAAAAAAAAAAAAAAAAAAAACCAACCACAAAAAAAACCCAACAAAACAAACCCCCCCCAAAAAAAAAAAAACACCCCACCCCCAAACACAAAACCCCCCCAAAAAACCCAAAACACCAAAAAAAAAAAAAAAAAAAAACAAAAAAAAAAAAAAAACAAAAAAAAAAAAAAAAAAAAAAAAAACCCAAAACACAAAAACACAAAAACCCAAAAACCCAAAAAAAAAAAACCCCCAAAAAAAAAAAAAAAAAAAAAACCCACCCCCCCCCCCCCCCAAAACCACAAACAAAAAAAAAAACCCCAAAAAAAAAAAAAAAACCCCCCCACCCCCAACCCCCCCCACCAAACCCCCCCCCCAACCAAAAAAAAAAAAAAAAACCCCCAAAAAAAACAAAAAAAAAAAAAAAACACAAAAAAAAAAAAAAAAAAAAAAAAAAAAAAAAAAAAAAAAAAAAAAAAAAAAACCACACAAACCCCAAAAAAAAAAAACCAAAAAAAAAAAAAACCCAAAAACCCCCAAAAAAAAAAAAAACCCAAAAAAAAAAACCAAAAAAAAAAAAAAAAAAAACAAAAAAAACACCCCAAAAAAAAAAAAAAAAAAAAAAAAAACCCAAAAAAAAAAAAAAAAAACAAACACAAAAAAACAAAAAAAAAAAAAAAAAAAAAAACCCCCACCCCAAAAAAAAAAAAAACAAAAAAAAAAAAACCAAAAAACAAAAAAACAAAAACACAAAAAACCAAAAACCCCCCAAAACAAAAAAAAAAAAAAAAAAAACAAAAAAAAAAAAACCAAAACCAAAAAAAAAAAAACCAAAAAAAAAAAAAAAAAAAAA